TCATTGAACGTTTTGTTACTCGCGACAATTTGCTTGCATTGTTGACATCATTAGAAAAGGCATTCTCTGTTTCGTTCAAGTTGTATCTTATATCATTATCAGAGTTATTGGAAAATGTTATTCATTTAACCATTGGGAGCAATGTTGAGCAATATGATGATAGATGTCATGCTGTATGGGTTAAATCAGGAGAGCTGCTCATTTGTTCTGCAGTAAATTTAGAAAAAGATCATTGTTTTACCACATCCCAACTTCCACTAAATGCGTGGTCAACTATAAAAATATCACAAATCAAACAAAAAGGAGAATATAAATACAACATTTGTATAAATGAAATTGTTGTTTACAGCACTGTTAATACATATCCCCAATCCTTTTCAAATGTTTATGTTTATTCTGCAGATTCTTGGCACAACGAGTTTAAAGACGGTTTCATTAAAGATCTAAAAATTGTAAATGAAAATGATAGTGAGTATCTGATTTTGATTTCATTGTTTTTACTATTATTATAAATTTTTATTTTGATATTTTCAATAAATTCTATAAAATATGTTAACCAACAGATATTAACTTTCTAAAAATATTATTTTTGACATGTGAAAATCAATTCTATTTTATTTAAAGAAAATAGAATTGAATTGTAGTTGATGTGGTTTCTAATAAAAATTGTAGTTACTAATAATAATATACAAATTTTGAAAAGCTTTAATAGTATTGATAATATTCAAATCTACATTTACCAACTGTTGTCACTGCTACTGTTACTATAAATAAAAAGAAAAGAACTAAATAGCCATTTAACTAATGGATCAATTTAGTTATAATTCTAAAACACAAATACAATGTGCAAAATGCAAACCACTTACCATTAACTGCAGCAATAGTTTATCAACACCATTGATGAAAAAACTGCTGCTGCAGTTTCTTTTGTTGATGTGGATTCTAATAAAAATTCTAAATTACTTCTAATATTATACAAATCTACAAATATTGAAAAGTTTTAATAATAAACTTTATTATATAGCGATAATAATCAAATCTACATTTACCAAGTCTTGTTGCTGCTACTCTTACTATAAATAAAAAAATCCAACTAATTAACTATTCAACTAATGGATCAAATTAGTTATTATACTAACTAAATTACTGTACTTAATAGATCATTAAACTATTTTAACTATATTTTTTTACATGTTCGTTTTTCAAATGCAATCATCCGATTTACTAAAGTGAAAAAATTTAGTATTTCGTAAAAATAATATTTCTATGTAACTATAATTTTATTATAGGAATTGTATTAAAATTTTATTTTATATTTTTATATAAAATAAAATTTTATTTTGCGATATAAAATTTTTAATTTATATTGCAATCAATTCAAGAAATTTGTAAGATTTAGTTTTATTTTTAAATACAAATTTTGGTTAAAATCAGATTTCTTTTGATATATTTAGTGTTGTTATATAGAAATATTATTTTCACGAAATAATTAAATTTTATTTCACTTTAGTAAATAGATTGATTGTAATGAAGAACTAAAAATGTAAAAAAATATAGTTAAAATGATTAAATGATCTATTAAGTGCAGTAATTTAGTTAGTATAATAACTAATTTGATCCATTAGTTGAATAGTTAATTATAAATTGTTAGTTGAATAGTTACGTTATAGGAAAAAATATTACTATTTGTTTGTGGCTGAACAACTAAAAATATAAAAATATTATAATATGCATGTAAACCTTTCTTGATCATAAGCAATATAACAATAAATATATTTGCAATTAAAAAGTTTATAAACATTAAGAAAAAGTCTTACTATTTGGTTGTGACTGAACAAATTAAATTATATTTAAAAAAATTATAGCATGTTAATTTAACTGACGTAAACTCAAATATTGATTAAAAACTGCATTTAAAGCGTGTTTGGTTATCATTGATGTCTTGTCAAGCATAAAAAAACTAACTCGCCTTAAAAATTGTCCGTGAATAGAGTTAGGAGCCACATTGCATGTGCTGTTATCCAGAATTGAAACAAGAAGTTTAAATAAGCTGTGCAGTGTAGATCATTTGTAAGAAAAGTTGCTGTTAGACCAGCCCATGCAGCTGTAGCAGTTTTATCACCCCTACTGCTCGTTTCAGCGAACAAATAGTTATTTGTAAAGGTTTCTCCACTACCGGTTGATTCATCCATAAAAAACAATCTGGAATATTGATTTTCTACACTTGGTTGCTCGTTCAATACAGCAAGGACAGCATTACATACATTTAATTGACAGCATTACATACATTTGAGAAGCTGTCTCATTATATTAGCTTCGTCAATTGATTGCTGAACATTATTGATCCTATATCTAAATTTTTTATATTAAAATCTATGAACTCATCAACAACAGGCAAATTATAACCAGATAGCGTTTTACCACTTTGATTATTAATCTTTTCGATTTGACGATGAGTAACTTGTTCAGCAAATATAAACGGAACTTGGCGAAGAATGAAATCCTCCTTCATAAAAGCTTTGTATGTATTCCAAAGATGCAAAGGGTCGTCAGGTTCACAAAGGTTAAAAGAATTAAAAACAGCTGTCTAATTTGCTTAGGCATACGCGTTAAAACTGGAAAGAGTATTCTGCCATTCAATGTCATCAAGCAATAAACCATTTAAAACAGATGCTTTACGAAAGGTTTCAAGAGCTATACCATTAATGATATGCAAATCTTTACAAGATGTTGCTCCCTTTGCCTGCAAAGTAACAATCTAAGAAAAAATAATTTTTCTGTTGGATTAACTTTATATATTCTTACTATCACCTTATTTCCACCTCTTTGTCTAATCTTCCATTTACAATGTTTATCATCAAATACAATATGATATGGAATGTCTACATATGAATAGCAATGTACTCCTTCATTTTCAGAGTTCAACTTAAACCATGCTGTAAGGTGTGTATTACGTTAAGCAGCACGATCTAAAGCCATTTGTTCTTCTCTTTCTCTAAAATACACAATCCGATTCTCAGGAAGATGAAATTTAAGGTGGATAATACTGTGTGATATATGACTTATGAGATACTCAAATATTTGTCACAGTGCTTCAGGTGCACTATCATAACAACAATCTAAAAAAGTGTTTACTCCATTGAGATTAACTTGCTCATTTATCAAAATATTCGCACAATCAGAGCCTTTGTATATGTATTTGCACAAATATTTAACAGTCTTTACAGAAATGCAAGCTTCAACTTTAATGTGGGCTTGATATTTCTTTGATAACCAAGGATTATAAGGCACCTCCAAAAAGTTATCTAGATTGTTGCCCTTAACATTGATAACCAACCAATTATCACGACACCTATGGCGTGGATAACCATTATGAACGGCTACTGTGTTGGCATTAAATTCTTTACGATATTTTTTGCTGCGCACCTTGCAAGTTTTAATAATATCATAAAGTTCACAAATAACTATAGGATCTGGAATTTCATATTAAATTATTGATATACTGTGATGTTTTAAGTTTATCATCATTGGCTAAATGAAGTGATATGTGGACATGCGGCAAAACAAGCTTGTGAAACTCAATAACCTGAGCATGCGTTACAACTTTGCCTAATACACCATGTTTAAGTATATCATTGAGGAGGTTATATAACTTGAGTTTAAATACTCGTGTAACTAAATCAGATCTATCATTCGCAGTCTGACCCGGATTTAAATTTTCTGTTATCTCACGCCATTTTGTGTCGCAAGTAAAAGTAATAAAAAGATCTGGTTTACCATACTTTTTTCACTTTTTTTAGAAATTTGATTATGGCTAGTTTTTTTTTTTTATGTAAATCAGTATAAAAAGCATGAAAATAATTTTTTTTCTAATAAAAAATAATTTTAAGCTACTTTTTTTTACCTTGAAACTTTTTTTTGAGGACTTAGATTTTATTTTTAAAAACTGAAATTTTCCGTTATCTCCGAACGCAGTTATTTACCAAATCATCTAAAAAAAAGAATTTTAGACCGTATGAAAAAGAGCAATTTTTAAAATTTAGTTTAACGGACAACACACTGACGAAAATTAAATTCTAAACATTCACTTTCCGTTTTGCGAAGTTGTTTATTTTGTTATATTTTTAAAAAGGTTCTTAGTTCTAAAAACTTGATTTTTTTTAATTAGTTAAACTAAAGATGTTAAACACCCTTAAAACCGGAAGTAAATTGGCTTGTCAGCTAAGTAAACTGAAAAAAACTTTGGAAAAAAAACTTTTTTCAAAGTTTCTTTTATCTTTCGGATGGAAGAAACTTTGAACCGGAAAAGGTTCAAAGTTTCTTCCATCTAAACTCCCAACCTCTCGAAACGTCCTAAAGTACGGATTGTATTTAAGGGAGATAAGTGAAAAAGGCCACAGAAACCATACTGTTGATCAGGTTGTTAAGAAAATTGTTCCAGGAATTATATTGCAGTGGAAAAAAGCAAATGCTAAATTTGTGAGTCCAGTTATAAATTCTGAACGAAGAGTTAAATATAAAGTAAAAGAGCTATGATTATTAGCTGTTAAAGTTAGTAATGGTAATGCAGCTATATCAATTACAGAAAGATTTATGGAAAGACTTGATAAACTTTTTGATTTGTTTACTTGCAATTGTAAAGTGATGTTTTGCATAGAGAATAATTGTAAAGAAAATTCTGACAGAAAAGCGCACATTGAATGTGCTTGTAAAAAAGATCAAAAAATTCCTCTCCTTGAATTAAATTTTGTTAGATATCAAAGAGAAAAAATCGGAACCAAAGGTTTGCTTCAGATAGGTGGCATTGATCACATTGAAACTAAGAAACAAAATAAAAGTTTGAAAAGGTATTCAATAGAAAATCACGCATCACGAGAAAATGGAAAAAATGAAGAAAATGAAACTTAGATCTTCTAACCCGTGACTCAAACGAAGTCTCTGGTATTTCAAATAATGAAGTACAAATGAATATTTCAGAAAAAAGAAAAGTAAAAATATATAACATCATGAATACCAGTAATGTAGCATTAACAAGCTTAAGGCATCATACAGGGTTAAGAGAAACTGCAGAATAGCAACTGCTTCCCTTTATGTTATACTGAATAATGCTACAAACCTTGAAATTAATCCACAGTTTCTAAAACTTTGTGAAGCTTCTCTTCTTATCTATTTTGATCCTAAAATTATTATAGATCTGACTACTGATCAGAGCTATGCATACCAAATTGTGACATCCAATAAAACTGGAGTTCTTTCCAAGAGATTGGCATTACTAGAAATTGGTCCTGTTTGTTATAGCAGATGGCTAACTACTGCTTTAAGATTTTGCAGAATATGGGTGTCTAATCATGGATTAATAGGTGAGCTTTTAAATAAGTTAAGAGTGATAGTTGAGTATATTGTTGGTTTGTATGTTCCTAACTGGTTCAACATTAAAGTAAAGTCAAGCTGGGTGGAGGGACCAATCA